TTCACTCTCTCTCTCTCTCTCTAGTCTCTACAAACAGTACATACTACATAGTAGTCTCTACTCTATTCTAGAGTATGTAGAGAGAGTAGAGAGAGAGAGAGAGAGAGAGCATTTTTTATATAAATAAATAGATAGTAGTATGTAGAGTTGTAGACTAGTAGACTAGTAACTACTAGACCTACAACACTACATACATAGGGTCACGGGTTGCGGACGCGACTGAAAATCTGAATACAATGTGGCGACCAGCGAATACTCGATCAAGAAATAATAAATTGAATACCAATGAAAGTCCGTGATTTGTTGAACGTACACAAAAATCAAAATCCAACGACACAATCAGTCAACATTCAGTCAATCCATATCAAAATTCTCTTCCATTCTACTTCTCCAGAGTCCAGAATGCTCTGAAATTCTGAATACATAGTATTACCTAAATAGTAAAAATGTAAAATAGTATAAAATATAGCCCTGCCCTCAGGGCTCAGGCTCAGGGGCCAAGCTAAACCTCAAAAAGTTTTACGTTAAAACTTTTAGCACTAAAAGCTTTAGCTATTAGGTCCCTCAGAACTTTATTTATTCCAAATAAGGAATTAAATAGAGCTTTTTATGCCCATTTGAGACCCTGTGCATGAACATAGAAAGGCCTAATACAAGAATCACGATGTGATGTTTGCTCGGAACTGGATATAAAAAAAAACAAAATTCCATTTATTTCCCGCCCAACTTTTCTGAGCTTTTAGTTCCCCACCGACGTCAGCGGTGTTTTATTTCTCAATAGGGGGGGGAGGGGGTTTAAACACAAAATATAAATTTTAACTGTTATAACCGATTGGTACCGGCTGCACATACGACAGCCTCGACAGGTGCTTTTTTCAGGTCAGAGCGGTGTCAGAATTTTGTCCTGTTGTTTTGGCGCGCAATACACCGTTTACGTTCTACTTTTATTCCCTATGCGGTCCACTGTATGTTCTTAGGTGCACTTTGCGGGTCTAAAAATTCAAGTGTGTACTGGTTTCGATATACGAGCTAGTCCTATAAAACGAACTTAGTTAGACCCTTCTGATCACATTTTAAAATTGAAGAAATATGCGTTTACGTTCAACTTCTATTCATTACCTCCATTACGTATAGAGCTTCGCAAGTTCCAGGCTTCAAGGACCTTCTGCTTCAGTAAAATAGAGCAGCCTACACAGCAGGCAGGGCAGGCCGGGAGGGGTCAGGCCTCAATATTTGTTCAGAAGTGCAGCCTGTGAGGCTGTGGCCTGTGAGCTGGGAGTGACTGAGTGTGCAACTGCAGGCTGCAGGCCAGTTCTGCTGCTTTTGCATTCCCGCACTCTACTCTCTACTGAGAATGGAAACTGTAGGAGTCTCTCTACTAGAGGATTCCTCAGACCTCAGGAGTCAGGACTAAGGACCTGAAATTGATCAATTTTCAGATGGGTACTCTACGGCTAAATACCCTCAGAAATGAGGCCTGCCCCCTGCGAGGGTGCGGGCCTGGGTGCTGGTGACTGGAGAATCTTTTTTCACACCCAAAAATCAGGAAACTCCTGCGTCTCCTGAGGACTCTAGATTTCAGTTTTGGCGGGTAGTACTCGGGACACGATATAGGTGCGTTTATGTAAATATCAATAGATGTATTGTAGTGGTTTTTGTGAATATAAGTAGTTGTACGCCACTGTCTATGACATACTACGCTTTGTGCCGCAGCGGTTTGTATATGTGTATCACAGCGCTGACTACCCAAGAAAACCTAGCGGTCTGATCTATATGTATCAATTGAACTTGGTGATCAGGAAGTATCAATCTTTTTGAGAGTGGAAATTATTGGAATTAGTCCCAAGTAATAATGGCCAAGAACATGATAGACCCCGCTGAGGTTGAAAAGTGGACAGAGGCAAAAGCCACAGCACTATGTCGGGTATTGAGAGAATCGAACCTGGATTTCTTCAGTAAAGAATTCCCCGATATAATGAGAAACATATTTGGAAATGTAGCGGCAGTGGGGGACGGTAAGAGGTATGCTATAACTGGATGTTTGTCACAAAGCTC